TCCAACACAAACCTGCAAAGATATACAACAGATTGTGCAGGGATTGGTGTGTGCATCATGATTATCTAGTAAAAGTAGGCACTGAGGATCTGTGATATGAGAGAGAGAAAAACAAAACATTAAAGGTGAGGGGTTTGGGAGATAGGTTGAGTAAGGGACATCATAAAAAAATAGAAGATAGAGTTTTTGAGGGTATAGCTCGATTGTATTCACATATCCTGTGTTTCAATGGTTTGAATAGTGAGTTTCGCCTGGGTTGGAATCCCCAAATGTAGGTTTGTGCAGCTGAACTGGGTTATCATTCCGTGTTGTTTCTATTGTTCTTCGTGACCGGTATGTTCACTCGCAGTTCGATCCTCCAACGAACAACCAGTGTGCGTTGAGAGATTTTTTTGTGTTTATTTTTTAAGTTTGTTGCTGCTTGAGTTAATCATTTTTCGGGGCCAACATTTAGTAATTACAAACTAGACAATTACTCTTTTAAATCGGACGCATTAATTTAACATTGTGTGAGATCAGGTCTTTAGCACCTCTTCGATGAACACTTCAAATTTAATCAATATAATTACATTACTTATATTATTTAATAAATTAAATTTATGTAATTAAGTTCTAAGTGATCAACTCGGCCGCAAACTTAATATATATAGTTACATTAATTATACAATTTAATAAATTAAATCAATATGATTAAATTCTATGTGACAACACATGTGCAGAAATTAAATTTTCAACACCTGATTTGATCCGATTTAACATATCTCGATGATATCCCAACTACAAAAAAAAAATCGCTTCCATAATCTCAACCTTTGACAAATCTTGATTGCATCTGATTAGTTTAATATATCTTTACGATCTCCAAATAGCAAGAACAATCCATCCATAATTCTCAATTTCAATTAACAACAATATCGTTTTGGTTATCATGCTAATTAACTCGACTATCATGTGTTTGTCGAGAGAGAATGCATATCCAACCGTATGTATTAATACAATATATAACATATATTTTAATAATATATTATATAATTTTATGTAACACAATATATTGTGATTTTAGCATAATAAACAGATTATAAAATACAATACAATATATATTCCAGATCGCTTTGGCAATCCTCAACTACATGATTCTAGTGATAGTTTTATATACATATCAAGAATCTCTTGAGATCAAGATGGAATTAAAGAAATAATTTTATTAATGATAGGGAATAATACAGACTATACACTGAGATACGACAACATATCAATTCTCACTTCATTGACAATTTATATATATATATATATATATATATCAAAACACGTATACTCAAGCATACATGCATCCAACTAAAAGCTATTGTTTTAATATTCAAACAATACTAGTAATTTTCACTCCAAAACAATGAGTACATTTGGAACAAATGTTTGGTCAAACTCGAATCATAATAATAATAATAAGTATTGATAAAATTTTAGTGTTCGTTTGAATTATATTTATATAAATAAATTATTGATAAATTTTAAAAAATTTAAAATTTAAAATTTGAGTATCTATTAATTAATTAAGTTTTTTTTATTGGATATAAAAAAATATATAATATATGTATAATAATTGTAGTTTTAATAAAAGTAATTAAATTTGTTATAGTAAAATTGAAAAAAAAAAAAAAAAAAGTAATTATAAAGACAATGAGAATAATAACTATAACAAATGCTCTAAAGGAACATTGCCGTAAATTTCTTGCAATTTTCTTCAACTGTCCTTCTTTTCTATCCTATAATATTTATTCTCACCTCATTTTGTCGCACTCACCTCAATTCCGCATCAATTAATTTCAATATTTTTTAACATGGATTTATTGCAATTTTTATTGAATCAATTCGGAAACTTTCTTAAGTTGGCCAAAGAACCACTTCAATAGTCTAGCGATTAAACCGTTGATATTGATTTTATATGACAACAATACATTCAAAATTTGTCAAATCTAAAAAATTAAAAATAAAAAATTTTGAATATTCACCCCTAATCATTATATCTTATAATTACTGGTAATAACTTAATGAATAAACGAATATTTTGAACTCAATCAATATATTATCATCAAAATAACATAGTGTGTTATAATATATTGTACTCCATCTCATTCGTCCTAAAATACTAGTCTCATTTTACTATTTTCGTCTGTTCCAAAACAATAATCATATTTCTATTTTTGGTAACTAACTTTTCACGTTTTTATTAATTTATACTCATTTTTTTATAATAATTGTATAAACTAAGAGTATTTTGGTCTTTTAGAAACACTTTTACCCTACTATTAATATAATAGTACCTTTGTTCGGCTCAAAGGGTCTCATTTACTTTTTAAATATTAATTATTATATCAAAACATAGTATAAATTAAAAAAAAAATTACAAAAATACTTCAATTAGTATCTATAATAGTATAGAAGGACATTTATATAAAAAATTATACAAATATAATAATATTTTTAATGTTAAGTACAATAACCAAAATGTAAATGTGGTCTTTAGAAACGGACGGAGGGAGTATTATTATTCTTTAATTCTCGTATCAATTTGAAATGTCCTTATTGTTTTGAGACGAAGAAAATATTATCATATTATATCAAATATGTATTATATATTAAATTATTATATTTTTAGCTTTATATATATATATGTGCGCTAACTAGATCAATATTGTTAATTTGACCCGTCGACGTAATAATGAATGTGTAATGTAAATTATCTGCACAAAACTTCAAAAGTAACGATGGTAGGCTAAATAAAAAATCTTGTTTAAATGACGATAAAAATATAATAATAATAATAACAAAAAATTAAGAAACCGTTCAAAAAAGAAATCGAATTTAAATATTGTGTAATTTCTCTGGAAATAATTGGAGAGTACGTCAACCATAATTTTTTCTTGCTTCTATTTTTAGCAACTTATCATCCATAGCATGTGGTATATCATGTAGCAATATATATTTTTTTTAAGTACTTAGTAAAATCTTATACGTTACAAATATCCTTATAAATATGAAATACCAAAACTCAATTAATTATATCCGTTGGATGGACAGCTGTTAATTATTAGTCGGACAGTGCAGATTCATTCAATTATACGATGCCAATTAGTGCAGCCGTTGCAATGAAGCGATTGTACGGGTGTCTATCTATAAATATTACATTGTTGTTTATCAGTAATTTCATGATATATATACGTGGAAAGAGTAACTGGATTGATACAATTCTATCATCAGTGTGTAGATTAATTAGCATTCAATATTTTTAGACCATATTTTGGATTGTTTCTTTTTGGCTTTTACTTATATATATTTTAGTTAAGTTTTTTTCTGAAAAAAGGCAAAAGAGCAAAACTGCTTATAATCTATCTTTGTTTTGAAAATCGGCATTATAACCTTGTATTTTTCTTATGTTTTATAAAATATATTCTACATTTTTTTTAAAAAAATAAATTGCATAAGACTTTATTTTTTAAAAATATTGTATGAAACATCTCAACATTTAAATCATAAGAGAGAATGACGGGGATTTTTCAAAGTAGGACATAAGTAATTTTGCCAATACTTAATATTTAAGTTCCAAAAGTATTTTTTTGAAAAGCATATTAGATGTGCTTTTAAAAAAATAAAAATTCAGAGGCAATTTTAACTAATAATATATACTAATATTTTATACAATATGTTATATTTATTATATTTTTGGGTAAACTGTTTTTTTAGTCCCGTAACTGGACTCCCTTATCATTTTAGTATTGTAAGTGGAGCCTGTCGCAAACTAGTCCCATAAATGAAATTTTTTTACTGTTTTAGTCCTCCGGCGCCGGAGATGCCCGCGTGGCTCGCCGGAGGTGACGTGTCCACCAGGTTTCGCTGACCTGGCGGACACGTAGATTTTTTATTTATTTTTTATTTTTTTAATTTTTTTTAAAATTTATTTTTAATTTTATTTGTATTTTTTTTATTTTTTTTATTTGGTCCAATTAAAAAAAAAATTTAAAAAATGAAAAAAAAAATTTTAATCCAAATGTCCGCCAGGTGTTGCTGACCTGATGGGACACCTGGCGGACACGTCACCTCCGGCGAGCCACGCGGGCATCTCCGGCGCCGGAGGACTAAAATAGCGAAAATTTTTCAGAATTAGTTTGCGATAGACTCCACTTACAGGACTAAAAGGATAAATAGATCCAGTTACGAAGACTAAAAAAACAGTTTACCCTATATATATATATTTTTTTTTATGTATTATCTATTTTTATTTTCACAACAAATTTGAGGTAATCAAGTGATAAATCTACAATAAATGGCGGCTATATTTTTAATTTTTTCATATCAACTATTTCTTTGTTGTTGTTTTTTGACAATTTTTAATTTTATTTAAAAAATAAATAGTTTTATATACATTACAATTTTCTAAATTTTATAAACTAATGTATACTCACTCTGCTCCATTTCAAGCGGGTCTTCCAAGTTTTATAGTAAATTAAGTTTTAATAGTATTTTATTGGTTAGTGAAAATGTATAAGTGGTTTTGACATTTTAATCATTTGATTTTATGTATAAAATAATTTTATTATTTGTAATTTAAATAAAAATTAAAAATATTTGTATGATTACTTTTTAAAAAAATTAAAAAAATTTTTTTTTAATAAGACAAATAAAAATGATAAAAATAGTATTTTGAACTAAAACGAATGGTAATCATATATATATATATATTGGTTACTTATATCATACTCACTCCCTCCATTGACAATCAAAATATATATATGGTCATTTTGATCTATCTGAAATATAATATTTTCTTTATCTATTTATTTATTGCTAATTGAGTGATAGAGGAAATAATATTTATTGTCGAAACTTGAAACTACTCACAACCAAACTCATCTCTCTATATATATATATATCACACTTCAAAAGAAAACTAATATTTAAGAAGTATATATATTATCTACACACACACACAAAAAAAAAAAAAATACTTTCGAATCAAACCATCAATGGCAAACTCAAACAAGAAAACGTGTTTAGACATTGAGAAATTGCCCAAAAAGCGTGTCTGGCGTTTCTTGGATCTCGTCCGCTGGGAAGGCTTCTGGTTCCCGCGCTCCGCCGTCCCCTCCGCCATGACCTTCCGCCACACCTTCACCGCCCGAAACGACGACGTTTTGCTCGCCTCCTCCATGAAAACCGGCACCACCTGGCTCAAGTCCCTCGCCCTATCCTGCAATCGCCGCAACGGCGGCGACGCCGATGACCCCCTCGCCGCCGAGAATCCTCATTTCCTCGTCCCCACCGTCGAGACCGCCGTCCACACCAAAAAATCCATCAAAATCGACATCTACGACGCGTCTTCTCCGCGATTGATTCACACGCACATCCCCTACTCTCTCCTCCCCGATTCGATCAAAACCTCATCGTCAAAAATTGTATACATCGCTCGGAACCCTAAGGACACTCTCATCTCATGGTGGCACTTTTTTAACTCCATCATGCCGTCGATCCCGCTCGCCAAGGCCGTCGATTCATTCTGCGCCGGCGTTCATGATTTCGGATCCTTTTTCGACCACGTGGCGGAGTACTGGATCGAGAGCCGGAAACGGCCTGAGAAGATTCTCTTTATGAAGTACGAGGAGCTGAAGAACAATCCGAAAGTAGAAATATCTAAAATGGCGGAGTTTATGGGAAAGCCGTTGGGGAGTGAGGATGAGGTGGAGAAGATTCTGTGGAAATGCAGTTTGGAGAGATTAAGGAATCTCGAGGTGAATAAGAAGGGGACGACTTATGTTTTTGTCGCGAACAAGACATTTTTTCGGAAAGGGGAAGTCGGGGATTGGAAGAACTACTTGACGCCGGAGATGGAGGAGAAGATCGACCGAATGTCACGCGAAAAGCTTGAGGCCATTGGGCTTTTTCTTTGATTCGCCCATCCGTTTGTGACTAAGTTCTTATCATCAATTATTACTGTTTTGCAATTAGTGTTCGTGACTAAGAGTTTTACTTAATTATATATATATACGACTCGACTTCACCTTGCAGAATTTGACTTAATTATATATATACAACTCCACTTGACTTTGCTTATATGAATACTTTTAATAAATGGAATATTTTTATAAATTACTTTTTTTAATAAAAAATATTATATTCAATATTTCATTTTTATTATTTTAAAATTATTTAAAACTAAACAATTCTATATCTAGATTGACACAGTTGAAATAATTTAAAATTTTAACATAATATAATATGACGTTGTAATTGCATGATAAAAGTTTGAAATATATCGTCTGTGTTAAGATTAATTATAGTATTTATTGTATGAGTTACTATCATATGTTATCAATTATATAATTATTTATATAATACAAATATATATTTTAGTACTGTATACAAGCTAAACTATTTTACAATATTTTCAAAATATGGAACAATACACTACACTTTATTCTTAATTTCAATTATCTTCTCTCTAATTAAATTATCGTGTCGAAATCAAAATAGAGCACTTTACATAGCACAAATCAAATGTATTGCGGGTGTGTTAGTCTACAAAACCTTACCCGTGTTACTCTACAAAACCTTACCCAATTTATATTATTCGTCGTAATTTTTTTTTTTAAAATCATCACATCAAAATCTTTTCTTTTTTTTTATATTTTATTAAAAATTAATTTTACATTCAAAATATAAAATCAATATCAATTTATCCTATTGTCTTCAACATGTAAGGACCTGAACATGTAAGGACAATAAAAGCCACTATCAATTAGTGTGTATAATTAAGTATTTATATTGAAATTAAGTAATAGTATTGTTGAGGACTCCCGTTTGCGGGATATGTAACTAGTGGCTTAGTTTCCCTAACAAGTACGAGCTTTTAGGTGAGACGGTCATTAGCTTCCGACATGGTATCAGAGCCTAGGTTAGGTCTCGAGTTCGAGTCATGCCCGTCCCCATTTGTGGCACTTGCATGTGCAAGTTTCGCAGACCCACTTGCACCTGAGGGAGCGTGTTGAGGACTCCCGTTTGTCATTAGTTTCCGACAAGTATGAATCTAGCCGATTTCTCTAGCCAGCAACTCTTCAGTCAACAGCTTCGAAATTCCTCCGATTTATCTTTCACTGAGGGTAAGCGACGGCATATTTTGGCTCAGTCCATGATGCGAACGGTCCGAGGTAATCACGTCGCATGTCGCATGGTAGAGGTCGGCACATCACTCTAACCCTCGACACTTAGCGAAATCGGGACTCGAAAAGGCTTCTAATCTCACCGGAAAATACTCGCCGACGCCATGAGAATATCGCTCGGTCCTCTCCTCTCTATCTCACCGGCCGGTAGCGCTCCTCCTCTCCAAACCTCTCTTGAAAAAACCGACTTACGGTTTCTTCTTAAACTTACAACCTAGTCACACCAAACCCACTATCTCTACTTAAATTACTCAATAGTCTGTTTGACCTACTTACTAACAAAAGAAATAAAATAAACTACTCAATGGGTTTGAAGTTAAAGGTTTGAGCTTGGAGTTTGGATTTAGATTTAGGTTTGAGTAAAGAAGTATTGGATCGACCGGGATAAGAAGTGGGCAAATTCATTATTTATAGAAAGACTTTTGGATAAGATTTCAACAGCTACATTTTATTTCTATATATAATACTATATCAACGTATGAATGACAAATCCCTCTACATATATATCTCTCTACGTAAAAAGCTTCCAAACCATTACAATGGCGGACTCAAAAGAGAAATCGTATTCCGAAATAATTGAGAAATTGCCAAAAGCGCGTTTCTGGGAAGCCCAAGACATCTACCACTGGGAAGGCTTCTGGTTCTGGAGAGACGTTCTGAAACTGGTTATGACCTTCCGCGACAACTTCCTCGCCCGAAACGACGACGTTTTGCTCGCCTCCCCCATGAAGACAGGCACCACATGGCTCAAGTCCCTCGCCGTCTGCATCCTCCCCGACGGCCGTACCGGCGACGCAACCGCCGCCGAAAATCCTCATTCCCTCCTCCCCACCGTCGAGGCTTCGCATTTCGCCATCAAACCCTACGAGATCGACATCTACGACGCGTCCGCTCCGCGATTGATTCACACGCACATCCCCTACTCTCTCCTCCCCGATTCGATCAAGAGCTCCTCGTCTTCCACAAAAATCGTGTACATCGCTCGAAACCCTAAGGACACGTTCATCTCCATGTGGCATTTTTACAACTCCGCTTTGTGTCCGATTCCTCTCGAGAAAGCCTTCGATTGCTTCTGCTCCGGGGTCTATAATTCCGGACCGTTATTCGACCACATGGCAGAGTATTGGATCGAGAGCCAGAAACGGCCTGAGAAGATCCTGTTTATGAAGTACGAGGAGCTGAAGAGCAATCCGAAAGTACAAATATCTAAAATGGCGGAATTTTTGGGAAAGCCGTTGGCGAGAGAGGATGAGGTGGAGAAGATTCTATGGAGATGCAGTTTGGAGAGATTAAGGAACCTCGAGGTGAATAAGAATGGGAAAGATTTTGTTAACGTGTCGAATAGGAGCTTCTTTAGGAAAGGGGAAGTCGGGGATTATAAGAACTATTTGACGCCGGAGATGGAGGAGAAGATCGACCAAATGTCGCGCGAAAAGCTCGAGGCTATTGGGCTCTTTCTTTGATTCGGAAATTCCGTTCGTGGCTAAGTCGTTATGATCAATTATTACTCTTGTTCGAGATATTTTCTCAATTATATTTATGTCTTATAATGTGTGATCAAAATATAATAACATGCAACAACAACTGCGTAAGGTTTAATATAGTTGTGTTAAATAAAACATCTAATGTCCGTTTATATTTGTAGATATATTGTATGAATATATTTGTTGCATTAATTCACATGTTTTATTTGTATTATATTGATATATATTGTGTGATGTCTCGCCCTATATAGAATGTTGTCAGCTTAGCTCTTACATTAATTTCAGTTCTTTTTTTTTTTTTGGTTATATGGGAATTCAACCGCTACCCTTCGAGTGTGTTTTGAGTAAACTCATAGCCGAACCTAATAGTCTGCAAATTAAATCTGATAAGACAAGTGGCACCAAACTTAGTAGTTTGCAAACTAGGTCTGATATAAAAAATGTTGGGGTTTGAACCCAGTAAATTGTTGTGGTGATTGAGTGTCGATCTATTTCTTTATATATATATATATCTATATATATATGTGGGAATCCGCCGCTGTTATCTTTCGGATGCGTTCTGGATAAACCCTCAGTCGAACTTAACAATCTGCAAATTAGACTTAATTAGACAAATCACATTAGACGAACCACGTGTGGCAAACAAGAACTAGCGACGTCAGTTTCTGAAACAATGATTATCCTTGGATAAGATTATTTGTATGTAATCTCGATCTTATCTGTTTACTCAAATTATATTTAGAAATTTCTTTCAATATTAAAATGTTCAAATTCAAAGCATTCACATTATTTTAGAAGGTAAATTCGATTATTATCAAGTAAAAAATGTATCATTTCTATATTTTGGTTAAGAAGCTATATAATGCCTACAAGTTATTTTGTAAAACAAAACTTTGCATAATATTTTTTTTATCTGAATATTTATTTTTAAAAAATGTTACACATTGGGTTATATTATAAAACCAAAAGTTAAAAGAATGTGTTTGCTTTGAATTCAAACTCGAATCATTATTATTTATCTAGTGTGATTTCTAATACAAAAATATATACAATTTTATCTCTCAAATCATCCTATCAAAATAAAATTTAAATCAAAATATTACATCAAAGCTTACTATTTCAAAGTGTAAATTAATATTCATCGTAATTGCATAAATTAAAATTTTAACGAATAGATGTATCTTTGTAGAGTTTTACAAATACGGCTAGATCTATGAATAATTTCAAATAAATGCTTCAATCTCATGTTTTTCCATTATTTTTTTATTTTTACTTTTGTTAAATTTTTTGGGGTTCCAATATAAATGATAAAATTTTGTAATTGAAATAGATCTTTTTAAGAATGAATGTTGGTTTCCTAATACTTTTGAAACGATAAAAATATCAATTTACTATTTTCAAAATTTTCAATAAAATATTAAAATTAATAAATGAGATTTAAAAAATGATAAACTCAAGTTTCAAACCAAAATTGTCCATTTGCATGATTTCTAACTTAATTGTTTTTTTCTCTAAAGAGTGGCTTGTTAATATTATGCGAAGTTCTTTGAGTTATCAGTACTCTTAGAAATATTATAAATTATTTTTACTTTTTCATAATCACGGGTATATATATATGGTTGTTGTTTAGTTCTTTGAGTTGTCAGTACTATTAAAAATATTATAAATTATTTTTACTTTTTCATAATTACGGGTATATATATATATGGTTGTTGTTTAGAGTCGACAAAAATAAAAACAATTTAAAAATCCGATCTGAATCCAAGTTAGACATTGAAAATTGAATGCCTAATATAAGTCTCACATTTTGCAGCTATAAATAAGGTTTATATATGTATTTAAACACGCCAAATGATATATTTCGTTTGGAGAGTTTTGAGAGTTAAAAATAAAATAAATAAATAAATAAAAATAAACATATAATACCAGCTTTGTCCTCTTAAATATGAATGGTAGATAACTTATCAGCAATTAAATTGAATGACTACGCAATTACAAATATAGTCATTCAATCGTATACTCCATCCCACATTATTTGTCCTTATTTTTTACTTTAATTCGTCTTACATAACTTGTCATTTCTTTTTTTGAAAATATAATTATACACTTTAATTACATTTTAAATCTTATATTTTATAATTTTTTTAATCTTAATTAAACTATTTAGTTATTTTAATCTTACTTTATAATTATTTTAATTAATACACTTCTTAATTATTTACTAATCATACTTTACCTAAATTTCTTTGTCTACGGTAACAGGCCCAAATTATCTAAGATTGAGGGAGTATTAATTATCACTTGACACAAATTTTCGGCCTCAATAAAAGATCAAGGCAATAAACAAAAACACCCTTCACATATTGATATGAACCTCCAACTTTTCGGCATGGATAACGGTTGATAGTCAAATCAACATAATGCTGATTTGACTTGACCAATATATGTTATAAGAGTAACTAGCATATATTTATATATGACTCAATATATTTATAATACAATCATATATTATATTATAATTCAACATATGTTATTTTATAATACAAGCTGAGATATGTATAAATATATGTTATCCTTTTAACATATGTTGATCCGATCAAATCAGCATCATACTGACTTAGTAAGGATCACCACAAGATCTGCAGCCCCAACCTTTTCCTCTCTTGTGCACGAATTTTTCTTTTAGGGTGTGTTTGTTTGGGAGTTTAGATTTTGAGTTGGAATTTGAATAGTAAAACATTTGAATTGAGTTTATTGTTTGTTGTGATATAAATAAGTATTGATGTGATGTTTTGAATGTAAAATTAGTTTTTAGTATAATATAAAAAATGAAAAATAGATGTTTGATTTAATATTTTTGGAGAAAAAAAATGATGAATAGTGGATTTGGGGTAAAATCCCCCGAACAAACACACCCTTATAGTATTCTTCAACTCTTAAAATCGTCCAAGTTCAACCCACTTGGTTTATCCAAACACTTATCATATTTAATTTCATCAAATGAAGTAAGTTGTATTGATTTGGAATTTTTTTCTATCTTTAAAACTTTAAATTTGGTAGGTTGAATCGTATGTTAATAGTATAATATTTTTCTTGCCAAATATGCATGACTTGATAAGGGAAAAATTTCGAAATTGATAAGATCCAGACAAATAGTGATTGTTAGTCATAAGCATGACTGAGGATTTTTTATTTTTTGTTTTTTCATTTGCTAGTTCAGTTTGAATTTTATTTTTTTAAAAAAATACGAAATCAGTTTATATAAAATCTTATTTTGTAAAAAAAATTATATATTCAATACTTAACTTTTAATTACTTGAAAAAAAAAATTAAAAGCAGAAAATTTTATATCTAAATTGACACAGTTGAAATAATCTAAAATTCTACGTAATATCACGGTATAATTGCATGATAAAAGTTTAAAATATTTGCATTGAATTATATTTTTGTGTCGAAATTAATTATAATATTTATTGTATGAATTACTATCTTATGTTAGCCATTCATATATTGTATATAACTATTTATATTATATAAATATATATTTTAGTATTGTCAAATTATATTTTATATATTACTAATATACTCTCTTCGTTCCACCTGCAATATTTTTTATTTTGGTCTATTTTATGTATTCTATAATATTTTTAAAATATGAAATAATACAGTACATTTTATCTTATCACATTACTCAAATAAAAAATATATATATATAAATTTGTCTCTCATCAAGTCCCTTTTTATTCTACATATTTAAATTCTCATCTCAAAATCAAAATATTGCATTTTACATAGCACTGATGAAATATATATTAAGAGTTTGTTCTTTTACAATACTTTACCCAATTTCTATTATTCATGGAAATTTTTTTTTCTAAGATATTAAATTAAACATCAATTTTTTCCTTTTTATATTAAAAAATAATAATAATTTTATATTCAAAATATCAAATCAATATTTATATATATATATATATATCTCGTATCATACAACCATTCAAATTAAAATTCAAAACTTTAACTTCAAATCGTTTTTGTCCTAACATGGTAAGGACAATAAAAGCCACCATCAATTGGTGCAACTAATTAATTAATTATATTAAAATTAAGTAATAGTGTTAAAGCTACATTTCATTGCTATATATGATACAAATATCGACATATAAATGACAAATTCTTCCACACATATCTCTACTAAAAAGCTTCCAAACCAACAATGGCGGACTCAAAGGAGAAATCGTATTCCGAAATGATTGAGAAATTGCCAAAAGCGCGTTTCTGGGAAGCAGAAGACATCTTCCACTGGGAAGGCTTCTGGTTCTGGCCAGACGTTCTGAAAATGGTCATGACCTTCCGCGACAACTTCATCGCCCGAAACGACGACGTTTTGCTCGCCTCCCCCATGAAAACCGGCACCACGTGGCTCAAGTCCCTCGCCCTCTCCTGCCGCAACGACAATGACGACAACGATGTCCTCGCCGTCGAGAATCCACATTTCCTCGTCCCCACCGTCGAGGTGGTCCATTTAATCAAAAAGCCATGTAAAACTGACGTCTATGATGCGTCGGCGCCGCGGCTGCTCCACACGCACATCCCCTACTCTCTCCTCCCCGATTCGATCAAAAGCTCGTCCTCTTCGACAAAAATTGTGTACATCGCTCGGAACCCTAAGGACACGTTCATCTCCATGTGGCATTTTTACAACTCCACTTTTTGTCCGATCCCTCTCGAGAAGGCCTTCGATTGCTTCTGCTCCGGCGTCTATAATTCCGGACCGTTATTCGACCACGTGGCGGAGTATTGGATCGAGAGCTGGAAACGGCCTGAGAAGATCCTGTTTCTGAAATACGAAGAGCTGAAAAGCAATCCGAAAGTACAAATATCTAAAATGGCGGAATTTTTGGGAAAGCCTTTGGGGAGCGAGGATGAGATGGAGAAGATTTTATGGAGATGCAGTTTGGAGAGGCTAAGGAATCTCGAGGTTAATAAGAATGGGAAATCATTCTTGGTCGCGTCGAATAGCAGCTTCTTTAGGAAAGGGGAAGTCGGGGATTGGAGGAACTACTTGACACCGGAGATGGCAGAGAAGATCGATCAAATGTCGCGCCACAAGCTTGAGGCCACTGGGCTCTTTCTTTGATTTGGCACTAACTTCTTATGGTTGATTATTACTTTTTTTTTTTTTTTTTACATAGGAATAGGAACAGCAAATTCCTACGTCATAATATACGTAACAACATGCAATAATTGTGTTAAATAAAATATATTCTATCAGTTTATATTTGTAGGTTTATTTTTATTATGTAATATATATGGTGTGATATCTAGCTTTATACAGTGTTATTTTTGTCTTATAGCATATAATGTACTCCTTTCGACTCCGCTACTGTGTCCTCGGTAGATATAAGAATTTAGGATTAGTATAATTAATAAATAATTAGTAATATATTAGTAAAAATAATTATTTTATAATATAATAATTTTATATTAAGATTAAAATAACTAATTAATCTAATTAAAATTTGAAAAAAAAAGAATTTACAGAGTAAAAATTTTTGAAATGAAATTAAAATTTATATTTTTTCCAATAAATGAAAGTGATATAATTTGTGGGACTAACTAAAATTAAAATATGGATACAGTAAGTGGGAGGATGAAGTAATATAGTAACAGTCTTTATAGGATTTGTTCACTCAATATTTTTTTGATGATACGATTTCCTATAAATATTAAAAAATATATTTATATACACATATTAAGATAACATATATTTCTTTTGTTCTAATTTAAAATATTTTTTTATCATTTTTGTTTGTCTAAGCTAAAAAGTATTACTTTTTTATTTTAGAAAAAATAATTGTAAATTAATATTACACCCACTTGGTTTATCCAAACATTTATCATATTTCATTTCATCAAATAAAGTAAGTCGTATTGATTTGAAATTTCTTCCATCTTTAAAATCTTAATTTGGTAGGTTGACTTTTCTTATGGTAATATGATATTTTTCTTGCCAAATATTCAGGACTTGATAAGGAAAAAAGTTTCATAATCGATGAAATCCAGACAACTAGTGATTGTTAGTCATATGCATAACTAATTAAGGATCGGCTTTTTATTTTTATTTTTTTTCTTTTTCCTTTTCTTTGCTAGTTCGGTTTGAATTTTATTTAAAATAATAGAAAATAAGTAAAAATATTATTTAAAATATTAATCTATAGATATGCAAAGCGTAATCTATCACAACCAATGTGGACAAGTATGTCAACATAGTAGAGTAAAAAAGACTATTTATATGAATACTTTTAATCCTTCTTAAAATATATTATATAAAACACTTAATTTTTTATAAAATATTATATTAAATAATTCACTTTATATTATTTTAAGACTAGAAAATTCTATATCTAAATGGACACAGTTGAAGAAATTCAAAATATACATAAAATCACGCTATAATTGCATAATAAAAGTTTGAAATATTTGCATTGAATTATATCTTTTGTGTGGAGATTAATTTGAGTATTTGATGTTTGAATTACTATTGTTAATGTATTTTTTCAAGTAAAATCCGAAAATATAAAATTATCTTCGAATTTGATATATTTAGTGTCTGAGATTAGGAATCTCTAAACACTCTACTCTACGGTACACAAAATAAACTGGAAAATAAAAGACTGAAATTTAAATGATGATCCCCGAATCACTGATTCGCTGTCGTTTGAAGATGATTGAAGATCATCTGCTAGTTGCTGACCCCAATCTTAAATATTCCTCAGAAGAGACGTTTCGGAATAGTCGTCAGCAACCGCCATCAACCGCCCACAACAAAATATTTTGAAACGTTGTCTGTTGGTTACGGCAACCTTCTTGCCAACCGCATAACCCAACCAACCAATCCATAGACTAATTGATCGCTAGACCAAACGATTCATTGGTCGCCCCATCAAGCGATCACCCTCTCGTCTTTCCAAACGATTTTCAATGGTCGCCCCAACCAAACGACTGAACTACTGTTCACTTAATTAGGCGACTAATTAACAGATCTTTTTCGCTTGGTCCAAACTCCGTATCCGCCGACTCAAACGATGGCGGACCAACCGACTGCAAACCATCCCATCCGACTGCAGACCATCCGACCACGGACTTTCCGACCTGCCTATCCGACCGAGGACCAACCGACCTGTTTATCCGAATGCGGACCTTCCGACCTGTCTATCTGACGAAGACCAACCAACCGCGGACCAACCGACCTGAGTGCATATTTTCTCCTTTTTCAGCCTGACTTCGTGTCGTAACTTCCTTTAAGATCATGCTATCATTATTATTATTATTATTATTATTTGTGCGTAACAACTGTCATATGTTATATCTATTTATATTATATAAACATATATCAATTTTTTTATTTATTTTTAATTGTAGTATTTGATGTATACACTATTATCATACGAGGGATGATGAATAAAGTAAGGACAATAAAGCTACCATCAATTAGTGCATCTAATTAAATAATTATATTGAAATTAAGTAATAGCATTAAAGCTATATTTTATTTCTATATATAATACTCTATATATCAACATATAAATTACAAATTCTTCTAACGTAAAAAGCTTCCAAACCAACAATGGCGGACTCAAATGAGAAATCGTATTCCGAAATAATCGAGAAATTGCCAAAAGCGCGTTTCTGGGAAGTGGAAGACATCTTCCACTGGGAAGGCTTCTGGTTCTGGCCAGACGTTCTGAAACTGGTCATGACCTTCCGGTCCAGCTTCACCGCCGGAAACGACGACGTTTTGCTCGCCTCCGCCATGAAAACCGGCACCACGTGGCTCAAGTCCCTCGCCTTCTGCATCCACCGCAACGGCGGCGCCGGCGACGCAATCGCCGCCGAGAATCCCCATTTCCTCGTACCCACCGTCGAGGTTTCGCATTTCGCCGTCAAACCCTACGAGATCGACATCTACGACGCGTCTGCTCCGCGATTGATCCACACGCACATCCCCTACTCTCTCCTCCCCGATTCGATCAAAACCTCATCGTCTTCAACAAAAATTGTGTACATCGCTCGAAACCCTAAGGACACGTTCATCTCCATGTGGCATTTTTACAACTCCAGTTTGTGTCGGATCCCTATCGAGACGGCCTTCGATTACTTCTGCTCCGGCGTCTATAATTGTGGATCGTTATTCGACCACGTGGCGGAGTATTGGATCGAGAGCCGGAAACAGCCTGAGAAGATCCTGTTTATGAAGTACGAGGAGCTGAAGAACAATCCGAAAGCGGAGGTCTTGAAAATGGCGGAATTCATGGGGAGGCCATTGGGGAGTGAGGATGAGGCAGAGAAGATTCTTTGGAGATGCAGTTTGGAGAGATTAAGGAATCTCGAGGTGAATAAGAATGGAAAGGTTTTTATTTACACGTCGAATAGTAGCTTTTTTAGGAAATGGGAAGTCGGGGATTGGAAGAACTACTTGACGCCGGAGATGGAAGAAAAGATCGATCGAAAGTTGCGCGATAAGCTTGAGGCCATCGGGCTTTTTCTTTGATTCGGCTCAGTTCTTATGATCAATTATTACTCTTGTTCGTCATTTTTTAAAAGAAAAAGTCATTATAGAGTGATGGTGTAATGAGAAATAAAGTTTTGAATCATATGTGTAGATTAATTTAATAAAATCTTCAAATTGACTTCTCATTATTTACAATGACAAGAAGAAACAGATGATAAATAAAATCTAAAGAGAAGAAAAATGACCAATGGAGAAGAAAAGAGAAAAAATAAAAATTCCACTATTGAGAGAGAAAAAAAGAAATGATAAACTTCCTTAATTACATTTTAGAAAAAGAAAAAAGAAAATTATTATAAATAAAGAAATAATCATAATTAAGAATTCAAAATAAGGAAAAAAATTATAATTATGCTAACATTTATAATTAACATTCTATGTAAGAAAATTTGTAAATAAAATAAAGTAGTCTAGGAAATTATAATATGGTAAAAATTATCTATTTGAACAAAATTCTGCATTTATGTATCCAATATGCAGTATTTTATTGCCTTTGTACATTTTTCTTTTATAATCAAGTACTTTCTGTAATTTTATTTTACGAAAAAAAAAAAAAAGTTATGATTTAATAATTGCTTATTATGTCTCTATATAAATTTGGAAATGTTATCCTTACCAAAAATATATATATTTAAAAATTAACCTAAATAATTAAAATGATTAATTTACATTTTAAAATATAACTATACAAAAATAATATTATATTGTTATTTTTTTATAATATCAATAATAATAATCTATTTCTTATTAATATAGTGTTATTGTTGTAATAAATTTTATTTTAATTTAAATATTTAGTCATCAGTACAAAAAATATCTAAATCCGTCTTAGACTGATGATTTATCAATAGGAAAAAAGAATAATACCAATTTGATCTTTTATTTTCGAGAACTAAGTAGCTCACGAGGAATGTAATCTATTTGATTTCAAAGTCTTCGTCATATGGTAGATTCTCCTATGCTTTAGCGTGTCTTGTTGATCTAATTTGTAAATTATTAAATTTAGTTGAAAATTTATTAAAAATTCACTATAACCAGTAGCAGCCGAGTTTTCAATTTTATTTTACCTTTTAAAAAGGAAAATTAGCATAGAAAGTAATTTAGAATTTCTTACTAATTACTATCTTATTATTTATTTATTAAATTATTTTAAAAATATTATATTTAATTTATATTTCTAAATTAAATAAATTTATCTAATAAATATTTCATAATATCAAAACTTAAAATATCCCTCAAACAAAACCATGCACGGACAAATAAAAGTAGGTTTGTAATCAAATCAATCTTTATCATTTAATTAATTAAGGGAAAATTGTCACCTTCCCTCTTTTTTTTTTTTTTTTTTTGTTAGTAAAGCGTACGTTTGTTTTTTTTTTTATGTTTTTGTTTGCACGTTCAAGATTAAAAAAAAAATAAATAAATAAAATATAATTAATATGTATAATTTTAAAAATAATAATAATAAATTATATGGAATAGATGAAAATTTTTTAAAAAAACTAATAAATATTATGTAGAACAGAAGGAAATAATTATTTTATCACTATTTTTTATATACTCTATTAATTTTTTATTAACTTTTTAATAAATTTCTTAAGATTTGTTTGTTTAGTATTTTGATTTGATATAATTTTTTTATATAAAGTATAAAAAATTATATTAATAATATAAAAATAATATTTTATATTAAATATTAATTTTTTGCAAAAAGATAGAATATAATATTATATATATTAAGAATGATATAAAAATAAATAAATATTAGATAAATAAAACGTTTATTATTTTATTATGACTTTACTTTTTATAGTATATTTTATTTTTATATTAAAATATTATTGTTACGCACAAAAAATAATAATAATAATAATAATAATAATAATAATAATAATAAGGTATCCAGAGTCAGTCGGTGGGTTCTCAGTCGGTTGGTTCTCAATCAGATAAGCAAGTCAGATGGTCCGCGGTCGGGCAAGCAGGTCGGATTATCCGCAGTCGGATAAATGGGTCGGTTGATACAAAGGTTGGCTGCTATGGGGGTCGGTCGAAAAAGGAAGTCGGGCTGTAATCGAAATTTAGGACCTAATACTTGTAGTTTACAACTAATCGAACACATATGAAACAAGAAACATCGAATCTTTTATATACTTTGTTAATCGAAGGAGTTCGGACTCAGTTTACCCAATATTTCAACCGACTAGCAACACTTACACACAACCTCGACCCAAACACTACCGACATCCACAGAAACGCACAATCAGCGCGATTAACAACCTAATCGAAAGAAATCTCAAGATTCTAAGCCTAAATCATCGCGGACAATCAATTACACCACGAACAGCCCATAAACATAGAATCGAGAAATCAAACCGAAGAACAGCTCTAGAACAAGCTGTAACACAACCACGGTGGATGAACTTCAAGTTCCGATGGCCAAACTCGCCGGAATGCACCAGACAGATCGATCGCGTTCGTCGGGAAAGCTAGGGCTCCAGAGGGTGAATATCGCGATAGAAGGAGTGAGGATTAATCTGTCCAGTGAACCGGGAAGCAGGATATATATATATCAGACCCCTTGGACCGGTTTGAGGGCGGTCCAGGGCGGTTCAGGCCAACCGAACCCATCCTCCAATTCATCACTCAATCGGGTCGAACCGCGGGCACGGGATCCGGGTTTCGATAGGTCGGGTCGGGTCGAAGTGTAATATGCACAAAACATCACAAATCTCCACCTTTTTGGGCATTGGAGAAAGTGCTTTAAGGGTGTCATCCCTGTCCGAGCTCCAACGATTTAGTCTTTTAACCTGCGGACTTATTAACACGGTTAATGTTCTCAAGAATTAAAACAACTATAAAAACAACTCAGCTTCACAACTAACAAAAACAGCTACATGATTAAATATGTCATGCTGAAAACAGAATTTTAAACAACAAAAGATACAAACCTTCAAGTTTTAAAGATTCTCCTAATCAAAAGTATCTATATAAACTGTTTTCTTACACAAATTGAATTTTGTTATTGATAAAACTTTTGTTCCCATGTCCGCAGGATTATACTCAGAAGGTATTTTTTCTAGTTTTAAAAAACCCTTAGACACTATATCACGAATGAAATGAAACCTAACATCTATATGTTTCGTTCGATCATGAAAGACTGGGTTTTTACAAAGCTGAATTCCGGATTGACTATCTGAAAAAACTGTTACTTCATTTTTCAAGTAGCCTATTTCATTTAATAAACCTTTTAACCACATACCTTCCTTCAATGCTTCAGTTATGGCCACATATTCCGATTCTGTCGTAGAGAGGGCAACAATATGTTGTAGTTGGGATTTCCAACTAACACAAGAACCACACAAAGTAAAGATATACGACGTAGTAGACTTCCTAGAGTCTCTATCATTCGCATAGTTAGAATCCACATAGCCATTCAGTTTTAACTCATTAGTGTGTTTACCAAATACTAGACCAACTTCAATAGTATCAACTAAGTATTTAAACACACACTTTAATGCACTCCAGTGTTCAACACCCGGGTTAGCCATGTATCTACTCAAACAGCTAATAGAATATGCTAAATCAGGCCTAGTGCACACCATCAGGTACATAATAGAACCTACAGCACTAGTATAAGGCACATTCAGCATGTATTTCACATCAGTTTCAGATTTTGGGCATTGCTCTTTAGATAAAATGAAATTAGAAGTGAGGGGGACAGCAGAAGGTTTAGCATCAACCATACAGAATTTATTCAAAATTTTCTTAATGTATGAAGACTGATTTAAAAACAGCATGTTATCTTTTCTTTTCCTAAGTATATTCATACCAAGAATTACCTTTGCATCTCCTAGGTATTTCATATCAAACTTCTTGCTTAAACAATCTTTTACATGATTAATTGTTTCCAAACTAGGACACATAATCAACATATCATCAACATATAATAGCAAGAATATGGGATGCTCACATGCTATTTTAAAATACAAACAATGATCAAAATTGCTTCTACTAAATTTCAAAGATTTCATGCATTCATCAAACTTTATGTTCCATTGCCTAGGGGACTGTTTCAGTCCATAAAGGGATTTCTTTAAAAGACACACATGATTAGGATTAGTTTTATCAAAGAAGCCTTCCGGCTGTTTCATGTAAATCCTTTCATACAAATCACCATGTAAAAATGCAGTTTTTACATCTAATTGTTTCAATTCCCAATTAAAATAGGCAACCAAAGTAAGCATGAGTCTTATAGTAGAATATTTAACAACAGGAGCAAAAATTTCATTGTAATCTATTCCCTCCTTTTGTGTAAACCCCTTAGCAACTAATCTTGCTTTAAATCTAACTCCATTTTCATCTTGTTTTACTTTGTACAGCCATTTACAATCAACAACAGAACTGTTAGCTAACTTTGGCACCAAAATCCAGGTTTTATTCTCCTTTAAAGACTTCATTTCTTCATTCATTGCATTAACCCACTCATTTCTTTGTTTTGATTTCATAGCTTCACTATATGACCTTGGTTCATTACCATCTAATGATTCAAACACATTATAAGCTAAGGAGATAACATCAACATCAAAATCATCTAACCTAGGGGGCTGTCTTACATTTCGCCTAACTCTATCCCTAGCAAGTTGATAATTTTCCAGATTTTGATCAATATTTTCAGCAATTCCAGATTCCATTCTCTCATCAACCTCATCAGAACTGATCTCCAGACCAGTCTCTGAATTTCCAGAATTAAAATCTGGATCAGAACTGGTTGTCCTGGTATCAGTTCTATTTGAGGCACTGTGATCAAGTAATTCAGCCTCTAAATTGGCTAAATTATAATGATTTTGCTCCACCTCATTCTGAGTATCATTAGGACCATTAACAGCAGTATTTTCATCATTTAAAGTCTGATTTTGCTTCACACAGGGCATTTCATTCTCATTAAATGCTACATCTCGACTAACAAAAGTTTTGAAACCTGGTTTAGTGTTTAACCATAGCCTATATCCCTTAACACCCTCGGGATACCCTAGGAACACACACTTCTCAGCCCTAGGTTCAAGTTTATCATTGAAAACACGTATAAAAGCAGAACAGCCAAATACTTTCAGGTTTGAAAAATCAATTCTCTTTCCACTCCACCTAAATTCAGGACATTCACCTTTCAAAGGCACTGAAGGTGATCTGTTAATTAAATAGGCTGCTGTAAGAACAGCCTCACCCCAAAAGCTCTTGGATAAACCCGAGGAAGCAAGCAAGCTTCGAACTCTTTCTAATAGAGTTCGGTTCATCCTCTCAGCCACCCCATTTTGTTGAGGTGTATAAGGGGCTGTTTTATGTCGCTTTATTCCATTTTCAATGCAAAAGCTATCAAACCAAGTATTGCAATATTCTAAGCCATTGTCAGTTCTCAAACACTTAATCTTCTTACCCGTTTGATTTTCAATAGAAATTTTCCAATTTTTAAAAATTTCAAACACATCAGACTTTTGTTTCATCAAAAATACCCAAACTTTCCTTGAAAAATCATCAATTATAGTCAAAAAATATCTTCTACCTCCATGTGTGGGTTCACTAGCTGGTCCCCACACATCCGAGTGAAGATATTCAAGGATATCTTTTGAAAAAATCCTACTTTCAGTAGGTTTTTGAGGAAAAGTAACTCTATGATGCTTTCCATATATGCAATTGTCACAAAATGGCACATTTGAGAAATTTCCAGCACCTAAACAACCAGTTTTATGCAGAATCTCCAATCCTCTATTACTTAAATGACCTAATCTCCTATGCCACAACTCAGTGCTGTCATGGACAGCATTCACACAAGCATCAGATTCACAAATAGGCACAGCAGACACAATATAGAGATTATTTCTCAAATCAGCCTTGAAAACTACTAAAGAACCCTTAGTTATTTTCATAAAATCCATTCCCCATTTTCCTTCTAGTCCTAAAGAAGACAAACCAGCACAAGAAAGCAAGTTATTTGACAGATTAGGGACATGTCTCACATTGCACAGCTTTAAAACATTTCCAGATTTAAATTTCAGCACAACAGTCCCTATTCCTTTAACACTGCAAACCCTATTATCAGCCATAGTCACATTACAGTTTAAAAGAGTTTTATAATCACTGAAAAATTCCTTAAAAGGAGTCATGTGATAGGTGCAAGCTGAATCTAATAACCATTCATTCTTATTAAAAGCAGTCACATTGGAACATTCAGCAGTAACAGCAAACACTTCACCTAAGCTATCATCATGAGAAATCAAATTTACTTGTTCATTTGAAGAGGTATTAATAGTGGGTGTTCCATTTCTAAAGTTATTGTTGTTGTTATTCAAGTTTCTATTCTTCTTAGGACAATTCCTAATGAAATGTGAAGTGTCACCACAATTAAAACACCGTTTAACATACTTTGAAGGGGTTTGAGATCTATTCCTAGACTTACTCCTAGACTTCTTCTTATATTGACTATTGTAGGAGTTATTCCATTGCTTATTGTTATTTGAAAAAGAGCCATTTTTATTCGGTCTAAAGGGAGATCTACCCCTAACATGCATCACTTCACCATGTGACTGTTTATTAGCTTTACTTAGTTTCAAATCCACTTCTTTACTTTTTAGACCATTTACCACAACATCTAGAGTAATTACATCCCTACCATATTTTATAGCTGATTTTACATCTGAATATGTACTAGGGATTGCATTTAACATAACAATAGAGCTGTAATCATCTATGTTTTTATCCCCTGTAAGTTTTATATCTTGAATTAACTTTGAAAAAACATCTAAATTTTCATCTATTGTCTTTGAAAGATCTAATTTGAAACTAAAGAATTGTTCTAACAAATGTATCCTATTTGGAAGTGAAGTTTCAGTATACATGTTATTTAATTTGTCCCACAAATCCTCAGCTGAACCATAAGTACCTATTTTCCTAATTACATGGTCAGCTAGGTTTAAAATAATGCACGAAGATGCAAGTTCATCAAGTTCAAACCTTTCTTCTAGAGAAAGGTCTGTTGCTTGATCAGGTTCAACTGCTTTTATCAATCTTTGAGTTACAAGAACACTTCTCATCTTTTGTTTCCAAATTGCAAAATCAGATTTTCCATCAAAAGGTTGTATATTAAAAAATGCTTGACTAGCCATGAATTTCAAAATGAAGAGAAAACCAATCTGTTTTAAGAAAAAGACACAAGAACAGGCCAAATTTCACAAGAAAAAACTACTGGTCCTAAGAACAGCCTCTGTTGCTTTAAAAAACAGATTTATTGTTTATAAAATCTCAACAAAAAATATCCACCAGATAAGAATGCTCCAGAACAGAGAAAACTGAATAGTAACTAATCCAAGGGTTAGTTTCTTGAGAAAACTAACTTAGGAGCAGTTAATATTTCATAACACACAACCAGCTTTGCACAAACTGCTCTAACTAACACTTTAACTGTCACAATAACCTCAAACAGCCACACTTATCACAGAAACAGCCACTTAGCACAAAAACAGCCACTTAACAAACTCAAATCGCCACACTTAATCACCCCAAAACTGAAATCTCACAAAAATATGTAACAGGGTTAAGAATGTTACCCACTCCAAGCTCCGCAACTATTCTTTGACTTTCTTTTCGTAATTCAAGGCCTCCAACCTGTAAAATCCTTCCAACTGCGCACTTAACACACAAATTAGTAAAGTTTGGATGAATCAATCAACAAGGAACTACCCAAATCAACCAAACAAGGATGATTTCAAGTCCTAATCTCCTACAGGCCTATCTTAGTCCTTAATCAAGGAGATCTAAACTTTACAGAGGTGAAAACACCATAAAAATTCAGTTTTCACTTCGACAGAGCAGTAAACAACCAAGACTTCGAAAACCTTGAAATTATTTACACAAAACCTTCGGATTTTACAGAGAGAACTAGGTGTTCACTCCAGGAACTCGAAAATCACGATTCCAGTAAACTAGCAAGCCCTAACCAGCTCTGATACCACTTGTAATCGAAATTTAGGACCTAATACTTGTAGTTTACAACTAATCGAACACATATGAAACAAGAAACATCGAATCTTTTATATACTTTGTTAATCGAAGGAGTTCGGACTCAGTTTACCCAATATTTCAACCGACTAGCAACACTTACACACAACCTCGACCCAAACACTACCGACATCCACAGAAACGCACAATCAGCGCGATTAACAACCTAATCGAAAGAAATCTCAAGATTCTAAGCCTAAATCATCGCGGACAATCAATTACACCACGAACAGCCCATAAACATAGAATCGAGAAATCAAACCGAAGAACAGCTCTAGAACAAGCTGTAACACAACCACGGTGGATGAACTTCAAGTTCCGATGGCCAAACTCGCCGGAATGCACCAGACAGATCGATCGCGTTCGTCGGGAAAGCTAGGGCTCCAGAGGGTGAATATCGCGATAGAAGGAGTGAGGATTAATCTGTCCAGTGAACCGGGAAGCAGGATATATATATATCAGACCCCTTGGACCGGTTTGAGGGCGGTCCAGGGCGGTTCAGGCCAACCGAACCCATCCTCCAATTCATCACTCAATCGGGTCGAACCGCGGGCACGGGATCCGGGTTTCGATAGGTCGGGTCGGGTCGAAGTGTAATATGCACAAAACATCACACGGGCGAAGAAAGGTCTGTTGATAGGTCAGACGATTGAAGAGACCAAATAGTGGTCGTTTGATGGGGCGACCAGTGAGTCTTTTGATCTGGCGACCAATTATGTATCTAGATTGGTCGGTTGGTCGGTCGTTGGTTATGCGGTTGGCGAGGCGGTTAAAGACATGTGTCAATGAAAGAGGCAGTTCTGAGTTCTGTAACTGGTGGGAACGGTTGGGGAAACAGTGCGACGGTTCTGAACGTTTTCTTCAAAGAATATTTAAGGATTTGGATCATCATTTGGCAAGGCATCTTCAATCAACTTCAACAAAGCAAAGTCAGATTTGGGGATCACCACTTTAAATTTCAGTCTTTTATTTTCCAGTTTATTTTCTGTACCATACAGTGTTTAGAGATTCCTAATCCCAGGCACTAATTAATCAAGTTTAAGGATATTTTCTATATCTTTGAATTTTACTTTATTTTTGTTGAAAAATTACATCAACAATTATTATTTTTGTATTTATGCGTCCTATATTAGAGTCAAATTAAGGTAATAATATAAAATAGTTTTAATTATAAAATAGTAATAGTTTATCTGTCCATCAAAATTTTATTTTTTTTGTCCGATAAATTTATTTATAATAAAAATTTATAAATTTATTTGTCCTACTCTTATTTTTTATAAACTTTTTGACAAAAATTTTATAATAGCATTTATTTTAATTTTTCACTTATTTTTGGTTTGTTTGTCCAAGATCTTTTTTAATACAATTTTTAATATATATTTATTTTTTCACAAAAAATAATCTTCAACATAAAATATTATCATTTTTAAGTAGGGACACAATTCTATATAAAAAAAAAAAAAAAATTATATAAAAGTATTGTTATTTTTTAATTTTAATATGGGCAGAAAGTGGGCATAATTTTGCTTGTGGAGGGATTTATAAATTAATAACCCTTTGTTTCATTACCCGCGTCTCTTCTTCTTCATTTTTCTTCATTGCTATGGAAAACTCCAACTTAATTACCTCTTCATCCCAAAGCGAGAAACACGAAGAAGACGATGAATTGCCAAAGGCGCGTTTCTGGGATGCCATGGACATCACCTACTGGGAGGGCTTCTGGTTCGATCCCGGCCTCGTTAAACCGGCCATGACCTTCCGGTCCACCTTCACCGCCCGAAACGACGACGTCCTGCTCGCCTCCACCATGAAAACCGGCACCACCTGGCTCAAGTCCCTCGCCCTCTGCATCCTCCGAAACGACGACGTTCTCGCCACCGACAACCCTCACTTCCACCTCCCCACCGTCGAAGGCGTCGCCTACTCCACCAAGCCCCTCCTCGCCGCCGCCACCGCCGCCCCGCGCCTCCTCCACACCCACCTCCCCTACTCCGTCCTCCCCGATTCCCTCAAAACCTCGCCGGCGGCCAAAATTGTCTACATCGCCCGGAACCCTAAGGACACGCTGATCTCCATGTGGCATTTCTTCAATTCAATTCTCCGGCCATTCCCGCTCGAGGCTGCCGTCGATTGCTTCTGCTCCGGCGTCCATCACTATGGCCCGTTCTTCGACCACGTCGCCGAGTATTGGATCGAGAGCCGGAATCGGCCGGAGAAGATCCTGTTTCTGAAATACGAAGAATTGAAGAACGATCCGAAATCCCTAGTTTCGAAGATTGCGGAGTTCGTCGGAAAACCGATCGGCAGTGAGGATGAGGTGGAGAAGATCCTCTGGAAGTGCAGCTTCGAGAGGCTGAAGAATTTGGAAGTGAACAAGAATGGATCGGTTCTGGTGAATGTCCCCAACAAGAGTTTCTTCAGGAAAGGGGAAGTGGGAGATTGGAAGAACTACTTGACGCCGGAGATGGCGGAGAGGATCGATCAACTGTCACGTGACAGGCATGAGGCTATTGGTCTCTTTCTTTGAATTTAATTACAAGTTGTTGATCCATGGGGTTTCTTTTTACAATGATTATTTTAGTAAAATATAATATTTAAATATTATTTAAATAAAAACTAAAAAAAAAAAAAAATCAAATCCAAACACAAACACAAACACAAAACAAAGAAAAAAAAGGAAAAAAGCAAGAGTATTTGTTCTCCACTTTGTGTAACTTTAAAATTGAGTATTGAAATGATCCCTTAAAAATGATCTCCACTTTGTGTAACTTTAAAATTGAGTATTGGTTCCCTAGTGTGACTTTTTCGTCGGATTTGGTTTATGATTTGCAGGGTATTAGATTCGGTCGGAGTTTATCCAGTGTACAACGTTAAGGTTATGAATTCAAACTTTCTAAAGCTTTTAATTTGAATCTCTCATGCAAAGTTTGTTTTTGTTTAACTTTCATTGCTAACATAATATGTAGATTATTACATTCCAATTCAGTCCGTACTTGAAAAAATAATAGTGTTATTTTTCGACGTTACTAAAAAATAAAAATATTGAGTATTGAAATGAAATAGAAAATTGGGCAAGTTGAAAGGTAGGATAACTACTATGACAAGGACTTCATATTTTACTAATAATTGTGGGATTAAATTATGTTTAGAATATTTGGGAGTTGTTGAATGATAAGAAAAAAATAATAATTGTGGGATTAAATTATGTTTAGAATAACTGGGAGTTGTTGAATGATAAGAAATATATATATATATATATATGTATATGGGGTTTGTTTTGTTACGTTTGAATGTAGTTTGGTATTTTCTTTTATAATACTATATAACTTTGGATTACACTAAATAATTTGATAGAAAAAGATACGCTCAAAAATTTACTTAGTGCATACTAAAAAAGTAACGATTGTGAATTTATCCTCATTCCTATGTAGTTTTACAAAGAAATATAATTAAATTTCTCGAACAGGAAGAGAGACTAATTTATTTTTAAGGATAAACTGTTTTTAACTTTTATAATTATCTTTTTTATCATGTTAATTTTATAATAGAAAGTTATCTTGAAATAATTTTGTAAATAAAAATATTTTGTACATTTGATTCGTCAGCGCCCGAGATGATTGCATAGGTGTCTGATAGGTAAGCCACTTGACGGAGATGTGAAAATTTTACTTTTAAAAAATTTTTAAAAATTGGGGTATGTAAAAAAAAAAAAAAAAAAAAAAAAAAAAAAAAAAAATAGAAGAAGAAGAATTTACCAACAACCTTTTTGGTCCACACTAATCATCCAAAATAAACATACTCTTAAATGTATTAAACTTTAATCTACATATATATATATATGTTTTGTATTATTCATTTATAGTAATATTTTTATAAATATTGCACCATATATATATATATATTTATCATTTTTAAAACTTACATCTAATATAAGTTTTCTGTTATTCAAATTTTTTTTTTTCAAAACTCAAAACATTACTATCTAAACCAGAGCTAATAATCAACAATTGGACCCAATTTTAATAAATTATGCTAAAATTAATTTTGATCGAGTTGACAGGATTTGATTAAATAATCCTATCCTATAATGGGACCAAATGAATAGTAATTAATTTTTTCACAAAATGAAGCCAACCTCTAAACTTCAATATAAATAATGGAAAAGACTGCATTTCCACGGTGTAATTCAATTCGATTTCACTGTGAATCAGATATTATTAATGGCACACGATTCGGAGAAATCGCTACTCTCAAATGACGTCGAATTATTACCAAAAACGCGTTTCTGGGAATCCCTAGAAATCGTCCGTTGGGAAGGTTTCTGGTTCCCTTCTCATGTCGTCAAACCGGCGATGAAATTCCGGTCCACCTTCGCCGCCGGAGACGGCGACGTTCTCCTCACCTCCGCCATGAAAACCGGCACCACGTGGCTCAAATCCCTCGCCCTCTCCTGCACCCAACGCGGCGGCGACGGCGACGGCGACGGCCTCGCCGGCAACCACCCTCACGTCCTCGTCCCGACCGTCGAAGCCGTCGATTACTACAACGAAGCCCTCGAATTCGACATCTACGACGCGCCGGCGCCGCGATTGCTTCACACGCACCTCCCTTACTCCCTACTCCCCGATTCCGTCAAGACATCCTCGTCCTCCATGAAAATTGTGTACCTCGCCCGGAACCCTAAAGATACCCTAATTTCCACGTGGCATTTTTACAACTCAATTCTACGGCCAATCCCGATCGATAAGGCCGTCGATTCCTTCTGCTCCGGTTTCTGTAACTACGGGTCGTTCTTCGACCACGTGGCGGAGTACTGGATCGAGAGCCGGAAACGGCCTGAGAAGATCCTGTTTCTCAAGTACGAGGAGCTGAAGAGCAATCCGAAAGCGGAGGTTTCGAAAATGGCGGAATTCATGGGAAAGACGTTGGGGAGTGAGGATGAGGTGGAGAAGATTATGTGGAGATGCAGCTTGGAGAGATTAAGGAATCTTGAGGTGAATAAGAAAGAATCCGCAATAAAGAACGTTCCTAACGGGTCGTTCTTTAGGAAAGGAGAAGTCGGGAATTGGAAGGATTACTTAACGCCTGAAATGGCAGAAAGAATCGACCAAATAACAAGGCACAAACTTGAGGGGATAGGGCTCTTTCTTTGATTTCGATGATATCGAAACTTGTTGAGAAATGACAATGAGTGTGTCTCAATGTGATTTCAAATTGAAATCATTTCGCATTATTTTTAATAAAAATATATTTTATATTTTATACAATATATATTAAATCAAAATACTATTTAAATCTAATATTTTATTTTAAATTAATTTGGCAAACAAACCCTAAACTTTTAATTGGTTTTAATGTAATGGTTGATAGATATTTGGAAATAAGTACATTGCAAATTAGCTTAATTTTTTGGTTTATTGTGGAGTATACAATAATGAGGAAGGATTAACATCACTGAATTTTAATTTAATCACAACTATTGATTTCTAATTTACAAATGTCAAATGTAAATTCAACATTACTAAGTTTTAATTAGAACCAATAAAAACATTCACCCTAGTTTTAAAAAAATGCATTATTCTTGGTCATTATCTAAAAATTACACGAGATTATATTATGATTATCTTATGTTTTCAAAACATTGTACGAAATTCTTTTGCTAGGGGATTATATACATGCAATATTTTCAAAAATACGAAAGGTTCTATACAATTTTTAAGAGATTTTTTGATATTTTTTAAAATACGAGGGTATCTCGTGTAATTTTTAAACTATAATAAATATAATGCAAAATTTTCAAACCACTAGTGAATTATAAGTAATTTTGAAAAATAAAATAAAATTCAACAACGGTTATAATTTTCTTGTAAATTATAGAAGCAATTATTATTTAAAATATACTATTCTCTATATCCCACTTAATTTGTCCATTACTTTTACTTCTTTCGTCATTTCTCCATTTTAGTCTGTCTCATAACAAAGTATTCATTTTTTTTTAAGTAATTGTATTATATACCTAACATTACAAATACGCTTACAACTTACAATATATTACACAAATATCATTACCTTTATATCACACCATACTAGTAAGGATATTTTGGTCATTTCTACTTTATTCCTACTACATTCTAATATAATATTAATATTTTTAAAACTACGCGCAAAAAGCAAACGAATATCTAGTTATGGCACGGAGGGGGTATTATTTCGTATGTCCCACTTAATTTGTCCATTATTTCTATTATTTCCATCTGTCCCAAAAAATTTGTTCTTTCGTTTTTGGACATTCAATTATACAGTTTAATCACATTTTAATATTCATAATTTATAATTTTTTTATTTTAATTAAATTGTTTAGTCATTTCAATATTAATTTAAAATTATTTTTATAAAATCATAATTATTTTTATTAATAAATTTTTTAATTATTCACTAATTATGCAATATTTAAAACTTTAAAACTTTGTGTATAATATAAATAAGACAAATTAAGCGGCAGCGATGAGTATATAGGTAGAGTCATCTAAAATTCAAGGGATAACCAATCTTTGAGCTAGCTAACTAGCTATGTCCCACACACACACACACACACACACATATATATATATATATATATAGGTGAGGCTACTACTCTCACCTCACCACTAATTGCAATATTGATTATGAATTGAACTTTCATCTATAAAAGTAAACCACATTAATAATTACCAATATTTTATTGTAGGATTGGATCCAAATCTAACTTATAAAAAGGAAATTTTTTTAAATATATATATAATTAATTATTTATTCGAGTGAGAAATAAAAATACAATACGAAATTATAAACCAATCTCGTTTTATTTATTTTCTTTTTAAAAAGAAAATATATTTGAAATTTAAAAAAAATAAATAAAAATTAAAATGGATAGAGTAGTCTAAAACCCAACCTATACCATTAATCCTTTAGTGTATGTTTGGTTGAAATGAGGTGGGGGCGGGGGGAGAGAGATTTTAATGAAACGGAGGAGAGGGGAAGGCAGAAAAAATAATATTATAACAATGTGTTTGGGAGGTAAAGCTTGGTTAGGTAACAGAAAAAATAGAAAAAATTTACTATTTTGTCTTTATATTATATAAATAAAGAAAAATAAAAGTATTTAATAAAATTCGATCAATTTATTTATAAAATATCGTACAAAATGTATTTGTCCAATATGATAAAAATAAATTTTCTAATTTTGCTTATGTCTTTAGTGCAAGATTGTATTGAGATTTAAGTTGAGACCGAATATTGTGCTTGTATTGGAATTATTTTTGAAAGATAATAAATTATTTTAATAATAATAATAATAATAATTATTATTATTATTATAGATATAATTATATTACTAATTTATATGATTTGTTAAAAAATATTATAATTAAACTTATTAAAATATTTAATTAAAAATATTTCAAAATATATAATACTATAATTTAAATCTATGTACAATTTATATGTTAATATTATTTGATATAATTAAAAATAAAATAAATAAATATTAAAAATTTGAAAATGTTATCAAATTTTTAATAAAATATTTAAATAGTATAATAGATAATTAGATAAAAGAAAATTTTAATAAAATCCCTCTTGTCCAAATTCCTCCTTGGAGGGGGAAAAAATTAAAGAGATTGTCTCGCCTCCCCTCTAAAAAAATTGAAACAAACTTAGAAAATTTTAAAATTGTCAACCCTCTCCTCTTAAGCCCTCGAACCAAACAAACTCTTATTAGATAGGAAGGCCATTAGCTATACAGCACATTAAGGGTGTCACACGTATAAATATTGTATAATTAGTAGGTAATTAAAAAGTACTATATTAGTGAAAATAATTATAATTTAATAAAAATAATCATATATTAAAATTAAAATAACTAAATAATTTAATTAAAATAAAAAAAATAATTACTATAAGTTATGAATTTTAAAATATAATTAAAATGTATAATTATATTTTTTTTAAAAAAAAAAGAACAAACGAAAATAAAAATATAGAATAATTTAAGTAGGAGAAAGAAAGTAGTAATTTAGTTTTAAAATTACAAGCAAACACGATATTATTTTCCAGAAAATGAAGGCAAGGTATAAAAAATGGAAAAGACTGCATGTCCACATTATATATAATTGGATCGATTTCACTGTGAATAACTCTGTAATAGAGATATAGACAATGGCAGACGATTCAAAAAAATCGCAATTCTCAAACGACGACGTATTATTACCAAAAACGCATTTCTGGGAATCCATGGAAATCGTCCATTGGGAAGGCTTCTGGTTCCCGCCGCAGGTCGTCAAACCGGCGATCAAATTCCGGTCCACCTTCGCCGCCGCAGACGGCGACGTTCTCCTCACCTCCGCCAAGAAAACCGGCACCACGTGGCTCAAATCCCTCGCCCTCTCCTGCACCCAACGCGGCGGCGAAGTCGACGGCGCCGACGACCTCGCCGGAAATAATCCTCATTTCCTCGTCCCCACCGTCGAAGCCGTCGGCTACAAACACGAACCCCTCAAATTCGACATCTACGACGCGCCGGCGCCACGATTGCTCCACACGCACCTCCCTTACTCCCTCCTCCCCGATTCCGTCAAGACATCGTCGTCTTCCACGAAAATTGTGTACCTTGCCCGGAACCCTAAAGATACCCTAATTTCCATGTGGCATTTTTTCAACTCAATTCTACGGCCGATCCCGCTGGAGAAGGCCGTCGATTTCTTCTGCTCCGGTGTCCATCATTACGGGTCGTTTTTCGACCACGTTGCGGAGTATTGGATCGAGAGCCGGCGGCGGCCGGAGAAGATTCTGTTTGTGAAATACGAGGAGCTGAAGAGCAATCCGACAGCGGAGGTCATGAAAATGGCGGAATTCATGGGGAAGGCGTTGGGGAGTGAGGATGAGGTGGAGAAGATTCTGTGGAGATGCAGTTTGGAGAGACTAAGGAATCTGGAGGTGAATAAGAATGGATCAGTGATTACATGTGTTCCTAACAGGTGTTATTTTAGGAAAGGGGAAGTTGAGAATTGGAAGGATTACTTGACGCCTGAAATGGCAGAAAGAATCGACCAAATAACGAGGCACAAACTCGAGGTTATAGGCCTCGTTCTTTAATTTTTTATATAAAAATTTATGGTTTTGTTCAGCCGTTATTTTCAAATGAAATAATTTTTTTGTTTATATTATAAAGAATTATGTCAAAAATATAAAATATATTATTTTATATTAAATATTTAATTTTTTTATTTTTTAAAATGAATAATTAATTCTTTTTTTACTTTTATATAATAATATTTTGTATTTCTTTTTATTATTTTTGGAAAATTACAATTAAAAAATGTTATTATTTTTTAAAAAAAGTAACCAACGTGGCCATATTGGTTTTGTGCTCTTCTTTTTCATCGCCAAGTTGGTCCCAATGAACGTGACGATGCTCAATTCCTAGGCGGTCCCTACACTTTCCAACATTCATATTAATTAATTCTTCATTCATTTTCAAATCCTTTTTTTTCTTTTAATTTATTTATGATTTCAAACGCTAATTTATATTATTTACACCGTATCATTTTCAATTAAAACACTTATCTTTTAAATATTATATTAAAATAATATTTAAATAAAAATTTAAATCGATATCTAATTTCAAATCAAAAATAAAAGTATTTATTTTTTATTACAATAAAAGTAATTACACCCTAATACAAAATATTTTTAATTTTTACATAAATTACATGCATATTATTATATATATACATAAAATACAAATAATAAAAATATTAAAATTATATTTCATACTTACACTCGTTCATAAAATATTATTATTACTTAATTTTTTATAAAAATATAAATATATATTTTCGATGGAGTATATAATTTATTTATTATATTTACTATTAAAAAATCAACAAATTTATATAATATATTAACAAACATATTTTTTCATAGTTAATATTATAAACAATTCAAAAAAATCTACCAAACAATCATACTTCGTTACTTCGAATGAGAAATTTAATTTTTAATTAAAAACAATAAATTCATAAAATACTAATGTTTATTAATCCAAAATAAAAACATATTTTTTTCAACTTAATAAAAAGTATCATTTTTTATTATAAATTAGAAAATAATATTTTTTTATTAATTAATAAAAATATATGAAATAAGTTAAATAATTTTGTTTTTGCTTAAAATAAGAGGAGAGAATCCAAATGCAATAGTGGAGAAGAACAAATACAGTTAAAAATTCTAAACGATCTGATTTGGGCCCATTTGCAATTAAGCTCAAAATTGTGTTTATATATATATATTATTAATTGACATCCATTTTGAACCCACAAAACCGCTTTTTGTAATTTACAAGTGCACACATTTTTCAGATATTCTTTTTTTTTTGTAAATAGAACATTGGGCCCTACAGTCTTCTAGTAGTTTACGGCTTTTACGCAAACAAACAAGTCCTTAATAATGATTCCAGCTCACATTCAAGCTGCCACTAATTGCACGACACCTGGCAATACCATCATTTGGCTCTCCACTTCCGGCTCGGCTTGCTCAGCCGCCGCCGCCGCTCTTTTCCTCCTCTTCGGCGACAAACTATCCGAACCGGACGTAACCGTCGAAGCCGTCGAAAAAGCCGGCTCGGGAGACCTCCGCTTGGAAGTCACTCGAACCGGGTCCGGTTCGTTCGAGCCGACTTTGTGCGGGAAATTTAACAAAGCCTTTGAGCCGCGCATTCTGTAAGCCGCTTTATCGTAAGCCAAAGCCGCTTCCTCAGCCGTCTCGTAAGTCCCGAGCCACACCCTCGCGCCGTTCTTCGCCGGATCTCTTATCTCCGCCGCGAACTTCCCCCACGGCCGTTGCCTCACTCCTCTAAAATGCCTCCCCTTCGGCCGCGTCACCGCCGGCGCCGCCGGAGTCGACAGGTACTCCATCCTCACCGTTGGAAAGCTCAGCTCGCCGCCGGGAGCTTCGAATCTCGGCTCCGCCTTAACGTCCTTAAACGGCGTCCATCCATCGTTAACGGCGTCACGGAGGACGCCGTAAATAACCATGTCCTCAGCGTCGTCCATCTTTAACGGCAAATCGCCCCACGTCTCCGTTAAACAAGGTATTAAGCTGCTGAAGCTTGAGCTCCGGCAATACACCACCGGCGGCGCCACCTCCGGCAACGGCAGCTCTCCGATTATCGGCTGGCTCATGAAATTTCCGATCAATTTCGTAATCCAATTGCAGAATTGAAATTTGGGGAGAAGAAAATTCTGAATTTTGGGGATGAAGATAGATTAGGGTTTATATAGGATAGGGAAAGGGGGAAATTTGGGGAAGGTTCAATGCACCCGTGGGCAATACGGGGAATTAAAATAAATTATTTTTTAAAATAATTTTTAAATAAAGAAATAATTAATTAATTAAAATTGAGGATATTTGGCTTCTGGGAAGGTTCCAAAAGAAGCTGCAAGTTGAGCAAGTTGTCAGTAAGTTATTGGGCGCGGGAAATGAATCACGTGGGCTAATTGGATTGAGGCCACGTCAGCAATTCGTATAGGCCAGGTGTTTTTAACATTTATTTTTATTTCCTCTTGTGTTAGGAAAATAATTTTCACGTGCTTAGGATTAACCGTAGGGTTTAATGACATCGTTAATGGTGTGTTTGTCTATGTTTTTGTATTTTGTGTTTTTATCATGTAAAATACTTACTTCGTTTATACGGAGGTTTTAGAAATTTGAAATATTTTCAAAATAGTGAAAAAATTAGTATTTTAATTATGATATTTTATTAAAAATAAATATTTAATGAGATGAAATTTCTATTTAATCTCATAGTTTTTTTTTTCAAAAAAAAAAAAAGATTATCATGGCAAAATTTTAAAATATGTATATAATAAACATTGCTTTATTTAAAAATATATATATTAAAGATTTAGAGTTAATTCATATTTTTAATTCAAAGATTATCCAAATTGTGATGTGTTTAATTGGTGTTTTTTTAATAGTTGTTTGAACTCATTCTATTGTGAGAATTATATAAAATATGAATTTTTTATGAATAAATAGTATTCCCTCTGTCCCACCTACCATGTCCATATTGCCGTTTCTGTCTGTCCCACGTTCCATGTCACTTTCTTTTTTTAGAAAATGATTATACACTTTAATCTCATTTTAAACTTTTTAATTTAATTTTTTTAATTTTAATTAAACTAATTAGTTATCTTAACTTAAATCTATAATTATTTATATTATATGATAATTATTTTTACTAATATATTCTTAATTATCTACTAATTATACTTATCCTAAATTCTTGTATCTACAGTGACCCAGACATCCAATGTGCGACGGATAGAGTATATTTTATAAAATTATATGTATATATTTATGTGTTAGTCTACATATTGTACAAATATATATATATTCTATATATGTGTTAGCACATGAAATATATATATATATATATATAAATATATAATACCACACACACGTGTGTGTAGTTATAGCAGCTATTCAACATTCAAAGGGTAGAAATTTCTTGTTGGTCTTATGTTTGACGTTGAATTAATTAAACCATACCAAAAAATAATAATAATAATCATTGGGTTTTGTTTCAAAATTATTTAATTTTTAAAATGTCATAGGATATTTATTTTGTATCTAATAATATTACTTTTATTTAAATTATAGTATTAAAATTTTTTAATGATATCATATTGAACTCTAAATTTTAATTTAATTATTTTTATGACAATTAGAATAATGCTAATAACTTCTACCTTATTACAAATATAAAAATAGTGATTTTTTTAATGAGGTGGAAATTTGTTGTCCCATTGGATAAGTATTTGGTCGAACTTAATAGCATGCAAATTAAATTCGACAAGACAAGTCACACTACGCGAACTATATGCGGCAGACAAGTCATATTATACAAATCATGTATGTTGAGTTCAATTATAACATGTGATTGAAAAAATTATAAAAAATATTTTGTATATATATCTAATTATTACTCTTACAAATTATATCATACAAGTGTCACATATGCCTAATAGAAAATTTCACGCGCCCACCTAGTGGACACGTATGCTCCGGTGTGCCATGTGGGTGTCACATGTGCATTCTCAGCGACAGATGACTAATTGTGCACAAAAAAAATATCACTTATGACGGGCTTTAGTTGTTACGGAACTAAATTAATAAAATAGTATGTCACGAGACTAAAAAAAAATTATTTTTTTCAAAAAGTTAGTTCACATTTCTATCTCTGGCAGTGAAAGACCAAATATGCCAATTACTTAGAAAACTATTTCAATAAAGACTTCAATTATGATATTAATAATAATAATGATGATACATGTGAAAGGGTTGGCTACAATTCTTTGTTTAAATAGTGTAATCACTAAAGTAATTCGATAATATAAAATAATGATTCAATAGATTGACTATACATCAAAGATAACATAATCTAATATTCAATTTAAAATCTAACTCAATCAAAAATATTCTATTATGAAAATATTAAGCAAATATATTCAAGAGGGCCTCCTGTTTTTTGTTCTTTTTTATATACTTTTTTTATTATATATTGTCTTATTTTTATTTAAATTAATTTAATAATGAGTTATTTAATATAAATAATTTATTTTGTTTGATGAAGTAAGGGAAGAAAAAATGACGTGGCAGTAGATGCGAGTGATTTGACTTCACTCTGGAACTTACAAAATGGCTATAAATTTAAATTGGGTAAATTATTGTTATTATTATTTTATCATTTTTGTTTCGTTTTACTAATTTTTTTTAAAAAAATAATTACAAATATATTATTACATATATAATTAATTTATATATAAAATTAAATGACAAAAATATCAAAAATTTTTAAACAATTAAATTAACCAATAAATAAATCGTATTATTTCTTAATCTACTATAAAACATTCATTTAGAGTAAGATAAATTGAAATATATTTTTTGCTAGAATCTAATGTACTTTTATTATAATAATATTTTATCTATTAGTGAAAATATGTAAAATAATTTTGACATTATATCTTTAAAAATACAAAAGAAAAATGAATATCTCTGTAAAATTAAGATTATTTAGATATTTAGATATGATTACTTTGAAAATTAATTGAAATAGTATATCCTTTTTAGTGAGATAAAAATAATACTCCCTCCTTCCCGCTTCTCATGTTCATTTTTTTATTTCCGTCCGTCCCACTTATTTTGTCACTTTCTTTTTTTGGAAAATAATTATACACTTTAATCTTATTTTTAAAAATTTAATTTTTATTTTTTTTTAATTTTAATTATACTAAACAATTATCTTAATTTTAATCTATAATTATTTTTATTATACGATAATTATTTTCACTAATATATTTTTAATTATTTACTAAGTATACCCCTCCTAAATTCTCGTATCTATAGTAACATAGTCAAATTATCCGAGACGGAGGGAGTAATAATAAAAAAAAATACTTGGAATTAAGATATAAAGAATATTATTTTCTTTTTGGGCTTGACATATATGATATTATCTCATAACTTTAAAATATTGTGATCGAATTGGTTTTTAGCGTTGGATTGCATGTATTGCTAAGATCACTATAAAAAAAAAAATAACATTGTTATACCGAAATTTTTTCCTTTTTAAATCAAATTTTTAGTTATTAATGAATTTAGCTAATGTCTTTCATCTCTAATTTTCATTATCTAATTATTATTATTATATTAAACTTAAATTTTATATTTACATATTTATATTGTTTTAATTTAAAATTATATTACTCCTTTTGTCCCATTGAAATGTTACTATTCCCTCCGTTCCAATAACATAGTTTTATTTATCATTTTTATCAGTCTCAAAACAATAGTTTCATTTTCATAAATAATCATATCACCGTAAAACTATCATTATTTTTTCATTATTATTACACAATTGCCACTACTTTTTACACTAATATTCTCACAATGGCAAAAAAGTCTTTTACTCGTACTTTTTACCTACTAGCAATATAATATCAATATTCCTTAAATCTCGTGTCAAATACAATCCAGACTATAATTTTGGGATGGAGCGAGTATTTTCTATTTTCGTCTTAAAATAAGGTTATTATTTCCTAATTTAGTAATTGTACTATCTACCTAACATAATAAATATTATTCCAACTTACAATATATTACACAAATATCATTACTTTTATATTACATAATACTAATAGGGATATTTTCGTATTTTTCACTACAACTTATTATAATATTAATATTTAAAAATCCATGTGTAAAAAGTAAACGACAACCTTACACGGAAACGGATAAAGAATTTAAAATTCAAAACCAAAACAAATACGGCGTAACCCCATCCGTCCATTATTCGTAATAAAATTTGATGTTGGTTCGTTTATTTATACTTTAATTGTTAAAAAAATTCAGCTAATAATGACATGACAACCAATCAGGGAGTGCAAATTTCTTAAATTTGTGGGACCCATTAGTTGTCTATTTATTGATTAGGGAGTATTAATATTAAATTAAATTAAATTAAAACAAAAGGCAGCAAGTTGGATATATTGCCCTTTCCAACTCGGGAGAGTGACATTTAGCTCAATTTGCTATTGAAAAAATATAAATATTATAATTTATAACAATCACTTTTTCTGGCTCAACTCAGAGAAGTTTTTGTAATTTTATAATATATAAAAATATAATAATATTTTATTAGTAGATGAAAATATATAAAATATTTTAATATATTTATTTTTTAATTTTATATATAAAATAATTATATATATAATAATATTTTTATAATTAAATAAAAATTAAAAAATATTTTGATAATAATATATAATTATTTTTAAAATATTTTTTTAAATAGAACGGATAAATAAAAATGATAAAAAAAATTTAATATTTTTAAATTTAAAATATTTTATGCTATTATTAATATATACCTAATAAATATCTTTTGTAAATGGCTCAAAAGTCAAGCGAAAGGTCTTACCCACGTGCTGGGTTGGTTGCTGCAATTTGTCATTAATTAATTAATTAATCAAATAAAATATATATAAAAAAAAAATAGGGTTGTGATAATCCGATTAAAATAAAAGTGGTTTGCACTGAAACGTCTCTCTTGTGATTATCCAAAACAGCCTACGGTTTTGTAACAAAAGTTCCCGTAACAATTTTTATTTGATTTTTCAGTATTTCATACTATTTAATTTTTATGACTACTGCAAAAATATACTAGTGTGTTTACACGTGAGATTTTATTTTAGAT